CTAGGAGGAATAGACCTACTTCAATAATATGGTGATGCTTACGTTCGGCAGAGCCGTTCTGTTGATGAGCATGAGGGCAAGAAACATGATGAGGAATTCCAATATTGCGAAAGAAGGAGCTGAGTTTTTCATACTCTCCACCCCAGTCACTTTGTATTGAGAGAATTTTTCTGTCAAAGTGATGTTCAACAAGCTTCTGAAATTCTTGGAAGATAGAGAGAACTTCATATTTGAACTTAAGAAAATATATCCAAGTGAATTTGCTATAATCATCGATAAAAAAACATAATATTTTTTTCTACCAAAAGAATCTCTTGCATGACCCCATACATCACTAAAATTAAGTTCCAACGGAGCATGAGACACACTATTTGACCTAGGATAGGGGAGTTGGTGACTTTTTGCACATTGACAAGCATGACAAACAGACTCAATATGTTGATGGGATGTCAATGGAAGATTGTCTTTATTCACTACTTGCCTAACTATGATCGAAGAAGGATGTCCTAATCTTTGATGCCATCTCGCCAAGGAGGGCTTGACGACGGAGTGAACTTGATGACGACGCTTTCGACTAAGTGCTCCGGATGTGATGGGGTACAAGCCTCCAATGCATCTATCGTGGTGGATAAGCTCCCTCGTTGCCCGATCCTTGATAAAAAAATACGTCGGATGAGTTTCAAAGAAGACATTATTATCAACAGTTAAACGAGACATAGATGCTAGATTCTTGTCGGCTTGAGGAACATGAAGGACATCTTTTAAAGCTAAATCACGTTTAAAAGTAGGGGAACTAATAGATGCTTCACCAATGTGACAGATGTCCATACCTGCACCGCTAGCGGTGTGAATCTGATCATTGCCGATGTGCTTCTCTCTCATGGCTAGTTTCTCAAGTTCATTGGTGACATGATCCGTAGCTCCAGAGTCCGCGTACCAGATGGTTGCATCTCCACCTTGCTTCCTGATTCCAGCTGGTACATGACGGGCATCAGGCACATAATCCTCATCAAAATGGTGCCAACAATCCAAGACTTCATGGCCCAGTTTTTTGCAAGGTTGGCACCGAACCTGGTTGGAAGAAGAAGATCCACCAGCAGAGTTATTGTTGGCGTATCTAGCAGAGGCGTTTGTGTTGGTGTAGCCGCCCCCACCAGTACGCGCGCCCTGATTGTTGCCGCTGCCATAGTACTGGTTGTTACTAGCCTGATTGCTGCGGGCACGCCCTCCGCTGCTACTGCTGTTGCGGTTTCACCCCTGACCATGCCCACGGCATGCTTCGCGACCACAGGACACTTCATTAATGGAGGACTGGCGGATGTTCATACCATGGAGAAGATTTAGGCGGGCATCAAAGCTCAGTAGCTGGTTGTAGAGCTCCTGGACAGTCACAGGCTCTACCCGAGCCGCAAGTGCTGATACAACGAGGTTGTAGTCAAGGTCGAGACCACCAAGGACATGGGAGACGATCTCAGCGCTGCCTAGCGCTGCTCCGGAGCTGGCAATCTCATCTGAAAGCATCTGGATTTTGGCAAGATACTCCGCCATAGTCAGATTTCCCTTCTTGAGGTTTGTGAGCTCGATGCAGGTGTTGATAGCTTGAGCTTGGGTTTGTGCAGCAAACGTGGCATGGATCGCCGCCCATACCTCCGCCAGCGTCTGAAGAGTGACCACCTGTGCAAGGATTTCGCGAGACAGAGAACCCATAAAAAAACCTTGTACTTGTTGCTGTTGTGCATACCAGAGGACGCGCGCGAAGTTGGCGATCTGCTCCCCTTTTCCATCTTTGGTGATGGTGAGAAATTCTAGCGGCGCTTGGCTCTCCGGATCGAGGTGGTGTCCCATCTATGTGCCCTTGATTTGGGGCAGCACGATGGCTTTCCACATGAGGAAATTGTTCCTCGTGAGCGTCTCTTGGGGAGGTGATCCGATGGACATGGTATGGGAGGTGGACATTGAGGATGGTGCGAAGGTGGATGAGGAGGCAACGGACGTGGAGAGCGCCCTCATGGTGCTGGATTGGGTGGAAGCGGTGGTCATGGCTAGGTTGGGGTAAAGCTAGATGCGATCTCCTTTTGATCTCTAGGAAGAAGATGATCTGATTACCATGTAAGAATAATTGGGAAGCGTAGAACCCTTTGCTCGGGCCGCACTTGTATTTACATGAATAATCTTGTGGCTTACAAGATGATCGATCGAAGAGATCATTTACAGAAGGTCGGTTACAGAAATGGGAAGGGGTTGGACAACAGAAGAGATAGAGAAAGAGTACAAGTTTAAACACGAGGAGTCCTAGGAGGGGAACGTTTGGTTCTCGGTACATATGTACCCTATATGGAAAAAAAATAGCAATTCAATAAAAAGTCAAAAATTTCTGAAAATATTTTTGAAATAAACATGACCTTTCATTGTACTAGTGAGAAAAGTTTCACAAAAGGAAAATTCCTCTTTGACTTCTTTTCAAAAAAGACAAATTTTCTGTCAAAATAGCGTGAATAGTGACCTATAATAGCAAATAAATTTTGTCTTTTTCGCTGTGAAGTCAACGTTGGTTCTTTTTTGGTGAAAACTTATATACTAGTGCGCAAGTAAGTCAAGTTTAATCTAAAAATACTTTTGAACCATTTTGACTTTTTGTTTAATTATTTTTAAAAAATATCCCATATAGGGTGTATATACATGCGAGAGCCAAAGGGTATTTGCCCGGAGTCCTATCTCTATTCAACTATTCCAACAGGAGTATGTATAATATCATGTGTTAAAAAGCCTCTGATTTGTTTCTTTCTTTTTTGCGCAGCCATCATATCGACATATTTTGCCCTTAAAACTTACACACATGTATTGTGCCCTAAAAATTTACACACATATGTGTTATGCCTTCATGCATATCTGACTTGTTTTCAGAATTTTATGAATTTTGAATTAGGAGGCCTGCATGGAGGCTGACCTTCAAAAGCAGTTTTCGAAACATATGCGGCTTCCATTGGGTGCCCCCCCCTCCCCTCCCCCCCCTGTCGGTTCAAAAAACAATTATTGTCATAAATGGCAAAGCACCTTCTATGTTTACACTGGTTATTCCCTTGTGCAGCCGACAAATGAAACAGTCAAACAGGGAAGATTTTTCAGCGTACTACCAATTTAGTAAGCATAGGAATGTATGTGCACAATCTATGCTCTGGTTATTATAAATCTCGGTAATCCAAAAGTATTATAAAGAGGTAATTACATCGGTGGTGCTTGAACTTGCCCTGCATGTTCAGTTTAGTGCCTGAAGTTGAAAAATACACCGAACTGGTTCTAAAACTTGGTTGGCGCATGCAAATATGGTGCTAAACACATTTGTAGACGTATAATGTGCTGACATGGCACCATATTTAAGTGATGTGGCATGGGTCCACTTGTAATAACGAAATATGATTTGTGCGATGCAAAATATGATTATTTAAATACTATGACTAGTGGGTCCTGGCTGTCAGTCCAGAAGGAAAATTGAAATTAAAAATCGTGCTTGACAAAGCTCAAACGAGCAACCTGCTGCTTGACTGCTTCCTGGTTGCAGGGCTCTAACCACTCTTACATTATTGATTTGTAATATAAAGGCATAAACGTGCTGCAGCCAGTGGCCCATTTAGCACATGTTAATTTTTTAAAAAGTCCGTAAATAATAATAATAATAATAATAATTATATTAAAATATTCGTGTGTTATTAATAATTACCTCATGGTATACGAATATTTGTGTTTTATTAATAATTAACTCATGGTATATGAATATTTGTATTTTATTAATAATTAACTCATGGTATACAAATATTTGTGTGCATGTATTGTTTTGAAAGTTCTATAAGTAATAAAAAAATAACCACATGGTACACAAAATAAATATATAGAGGTATGTTATAAAATAATACACTAAAAATGTTCCTGTAATTTTAAACATATTCACTTATTATATAGAAAGTACTGTTTGGAATATAATATATGATTTTTATGAAATCTTTAGTATACAAACATTTAAAATATACAGTCATGGATTCTCTAAGAATGTTCAATAAATGTTTTTAAAAAAAATTAGTGAATACAAACATTTTTATACACAAGTCAACTATTAATAAGACATGACATTTGGATCTAATATTTATTATTATGACTATAATTTAGATGTGTTTTACAAATTTTTTAAGTTAACATGTGCTAAATGAGACACTGGCTGCAGCCCATCTAAGCACCACAAGCCTTTGCGTTTATAATTCATTTATAAGTTTTTCTCAAAAAAATATTAATAAGCAGGACGGGGCAAAGTTTTCGTAGAAGCATAACTGGTGTACTGGTCGGCATGGCTTGTCTTGAAGCTTTTGCTCGCAGGAGCTTCAGGTCGCACGACTTTGTTCGTGTAACTTCTAAAAATTTATTTTTCCTTCTATACTGACAAAAGGGACCCACTAACCACAGAGTTATATATTTTATTAAAGTGATAATGTTTCATTGCTACAAGCGGGCCCCATGCCACGTCAGCCAAATACAGTGCCATGTGAGCACACTATACGTCTACATGTGAGATTAGCACCGTATTTGCACATGTCTGTTAAGTTTTAGAACCAGTTCGACGTATTTTTTAAGTTCATGCACTAAACTGAACATTCATGATAAGTTTAGACACCACCGGTGCAATTGCCTCTATTATAAACGACACATAAGAGATAAAAAAAATTAACAAGAAACTCCACCATCAACAAATTAACAAGAATGGATCAAAGGAAGTGAGACCAGTCAAGAATAACAACAAAAGAAAAAGGCCCTCCTCCTCATTTCGAGACCTACTCAACAAAGGCAGGCCCGGTAAAAAATAATAAAAAGAAATTGTCAAGAAACAAGTAAGTATATAGGAAACGATCTTCTGTTATAACAGAATGGCAAACTCAAGTCCTTGCATATCCTTGCATTAGCTTCTGCCAGCCGTGGCCATCCCATGCATGACTGCGTGCATGCAAGGGTACGTCTCACATCATGTTGGCCAGTTGCATGCAATTATTGGCCATCTGGCTGAGCTCTTCGTCGTACTTGAGCATTGGGTTTGGTATCCCGGACTGCTGGAACGGCCGGTCGCACGACTGGAAGTCTTGCACGGCGAGCTGCAGCATGATCTTGGCCGTGCCCTTGTCTTTGAAGGTGATGGCCCGCTGCGCCGCGCCGATGGTGTCCTGGGTGTTCATGTACATGGTGTCGCAGAAGCTCAGCGCCTGGGTCTGCGCCGGTGTCCCCTTGCGGGACGCGCTTGAGACGAACTTCCGGGCCTGCGCCGTTCGCTTGGCAAACGCGTCAACCTGCATGTTAAGCACTGCCAGATTGTCGATGGTCGGGTACTTGTCCGCGTGTTTCCCAGCCGTGCCCTTGCACAGCTCGGGGAACGGTGTATGCGCGCATACGCCGGCAACCAGCGGGTTGATGGGGCCGCCCCTCCCTCTAGCCGTCGCCAGCGGTAGGAAGCTGGCGGATAACATCGCCGCCACGATGAGGACACCAAGCCGTGCGTTCGCTAGCGCCATAGTTTATTTTGTTGGGTCTCTTGTTGGTGATCGGCAGCTAAATATACATGGAGCGGCGTACCAAGACAAGGCAAGGAGAGGGTAGTGAGATGTGCTAGGGTGGTGACGCTCTTATAGGGGGCTTCCTCGGCCTCGGAAATGGTGGTCGACCTTTTGTCTTGGAGCTGACGACGACCATTGATTTTGTGTTGTTTCGTTGGTCCTCCATGTTTGTGGGGTGCGTTGACACTTGACTCCTGTGCATGTCTCAACCATTCATGGACGGGGCTTACCTGTGCCTCGTGCGTGCGCCCATCCATGCGCCGCTGCTACGTGTCGCTCATCCCTGCCTCTCCTCGGCGTGGCTGTTTTTGGCAGCGAAAAAAAAAACAAAATACCAATCCTAATACGCGTTTGTTCGGTCCAGCGGGGTCCTCTCGTATTCTTCACCTCGTTACTCCTCTCTCTCTCTCTTTCCCGTCAGAGCTCGGACATGGAGCAGAGCATGGAGGACGGAGGGGATGAAGCCGCCGCGATGTCCACCCCGTGCACCCTTACTTCAGGAGGCGACTTCTCTGTCGCCGGATTGCATCTTCTCCGGATGCTGGCCATGTTCTTCTCTCCTCAGGCGCGCAGCAGGTCAGGGGCAGCTCGAGAGCTCCGACCATGGAGAGGTGGATCTTGGGCGGGCGCAGCTGCCTGCAGAGACTGAGAAGCTCGAGCGCTCCAGCCCCGACCTGGAGGAGGTGGATGGTGGATGGGGCAGCTGCTTCGACTAGTGGAGCGCTGCAGCCCGTACATGGAGGGGGCGGATCCCGGGTGGCGCAGCAGCTCTGTACCGCCATGAGTGTGCCACACATAGGCGGAGGCAGCAGACCGGGACGCCGCAGGCTCGTGGTGGAGAGCTCGTAAGGTGCCTTTGTTCGTTCACCAAGAGATTCAGCTCTACTACTTCCACAAGAGATACGACACAGCCACACAGGTAAATTTTCTTTTTTGCTTTGCTGGTCTTTTGATCTTTGATTTCTTGCTTGATTACTAGGAACACGAGTTATGGTTGTGGGCATAGAGATAATTTGGTTGCTATTCTATTCAATCGATGTTCAATAACAAGTTCTAATGAAAAATAGTGTCAACTAAAATCGACTTCAGTGCATAGGGATAATTTGTTCGATATTCGATTCAATCCATGGCATCCCCACAAAAAATAAAATAAAAAATCCATAGCAAATAACAAGAAAAGCAGTGTCATCTATGAAATTGATTAAATTGGCTTCAGTACATGGGATAGAACTTTTTATTTAACAATGGAGTGTCTTAACGAGCGAATGTGAGAAATTATGTTCTTGCGTGACCAATCCTATTGTCTTTCCATCTGCCGCAAGCACGCGGGGTGGTGATGGGGTAGGAAAGGTGAATCAAGCTGCCGCAAGCTATAGTGTTCATAACAAATTGATTAAGTTGGCTTCGGTTCATGGAAGATGACTTGATTTTGTCCTGTCATTAAAGTAGAGGCAGAGGGTCCAATGCTCTGTTGCTGCAATGCCGAGTTGTGCACTTGGAAATCGGTGCAGATGTGGTTGTTTGGATGACCCTATACAGAAAAGTAGCAAAGTTTAATCACGCAGAAGTTTTGAAATGATAATAAAACATGACAAAGTACAATGCTTCTACCATTAGTGTATTGTATTGTTGGAATCCTGCCACCATTCTTTGGTTCATTGGCATCGAGAATGTATTTCCATGTGATGACTGCATTGAGGCACTTAGCAATGGGTTGTACTGCAACTGCGGTGCAACCATTTGATTTGTCATAAACTCCAAATGACCCTACAAAAATGATAGATTAAGATCAATAAAATTAATTTTTCTGTGTGAACCAAGCAGGATAGTTTTATACCCTCGATGTGCTTTCAGGTTGTACTTGTAAAGAATCACTAGTCTTCTTCTGTTTTGCTTTTGCTATCTCTAAGCCACCAGTTGGTTGTGGTGGCATTGAGATTGTATTACCAAGTGATGGCTGCACTGAAGCATTTAGGAATGGGTTGTACTGTAATTGCGGCATACTCATTTGGTGTGTCATAACCTCCAAATTACCCTATAAAAAGTGATACATGAATTTCAGCAAAATTAATTTGTATGAAAAAAAGTGTGACAATTTTATACCATTGATGTGCTTGTACGTTCTGCTTGTGAAGAATCAATTGTCTTCCTTTTCTTTTTTGTTTTTCCTTTTGCCAAGCGACCAGTGGGTTTTGCTGACATTGAGATTGTGTTACCAAGCGATTGCTGCATTGAAGCATTTAAGAATGGATTGTACTGCAATTGCAGTGCACCCATTTGATTTTGCATAAAATCCAAATACCCCTATAAAAAGCGATAGATAAATGTTAGTAGAACTATTTTTCTATGTGAAACAAGTTGGATCGTGTTATACCGTTGATGCGCTTTGACGGTGTAGTTGTAAAGATTCATCGGTCTTCTTTTCCTGGTTTGTTTTTGCTTTCTCTAAACCCCCAGCGGGTTGTGTTGACATGATAATTGTATTAGCAAGTGTTGGGTGCATGGAAGCATTTAGGAATGGGTTGTACAGTAATTGCGGTGCACCCATCTGATTTGCCATTAGCTCCAAATAACCCTATAAAAAGTGATGGATAAATGTGAGTAAAATTAAAATTTCTATGTGAAAAAGGTGGGACAGTTTCAGACCATTGATGTGCTTTGAGGTTGTACTGGTACAGGATCATCTGTCTTCTTTTTCTTCTTTGTTATTGCTTTCTCCAATCCACCAATGGGTCTTGCTGATCCTCGTGTAGTCTTCTCCTTCTCCTTGATACCTCTTGGCTTGGCAAGCCCCTCGTTGTGTTTTGAAACTCTACTAGAGTCGATAAGCGGACCTGCAACTATAAACTAAAATGTAAGTCTTATACAAAACTCTATGCAATTAGTAGTACAATATATACCTTGCGAAACAGAGGAATTTCCCATATCAGGATCAGGATCAGGATCAGTTCTATTTTTCAAGTGTTTCTCCACAGCTTCTGCTAGCTGCTCTGCGCATTTAGCAACCATATCATACGTTTCGTCCGATTCAGAGGCACGAGCAGCTATTTTCACAAACATTCTGCACAACTCCTTGTAGTAGTTTGACATTTTTGTTTTTCGATCCTCATGTAGATTGCGATTGCTTGTTATCTCGAGAACTTTGGCGTCTATTGTCCACCTTTTCAAGATATATTGTTCAGGGATATGCTTGATATTATTGATATCAAGTACCTTTAAGCAATGACGGCACAAAATTCCAGCAAATTCAAACTTCTTGCAACTACAATTCACCCTTTCTTCATTTGGAGCAAATCTAACAACATGCTCACGTTTTGTGTCATGAAATTTTACCGTGTAAAACTTTTGGTCTGTATCACTATCATCACGAAGGAACGTGTCATAATTCAGGGTCAGAAGCACTTCCTCTTGAAACATCTTGAATATTGCTGGAGTATATGTAGTTATAGCTTGACTTAATATATAGCTACATTCCGCCTTCATCTTGGGAGTAGTTTGTGATGCCTTGAAGTCACACTTCACTTCTTCAAATCTTTTATCTGCAACAAGCCGTTCGAAATGCTCGAAAAAAGTAAGCATGTCATATTTAATACTGATGTAACGCTTCAGTTCATTGTTCATGCTTTCACTTCGTTGGGTAGTGCTCATGTGGGCAGAGAATGTATTTCTACCATACACTAGTGCCCATTGCTCCCTTTTCTCGAACAACCTTTGGAGCCATGTATTCTCACGTAGTCCATACTTATCAAGCATATCATTCCATGCACTTATAAATTCTTCTTCGTCCTCTATGTCATAGATACAATGCTGGAAATCACTATTGAACTTCTTATATTCTGGAACAACTCCAGCAAGGTGCTTGCAAGCATTTTGATTCATATGCCACACACAAAGTCTATGGTGAGAGTGAGGTAGGACTTCACTGATTGCCTTGGCCATTGCTGCATCTTCATCGGTAAGAATTGTTTGTGGATGTTTCCCTGACATAACTTTTAGAAAAGTTCTAAAAAGCCAACCAAAACTTTCAGCAGTTTCATCATAAAGAAGTGCAGCACCAAACACAATAGTTTTCTTATGATTATTCACCCCAACAATCAAACCAAATGGACGCCCATCATTTAGTTTCCTATATGTGGTGTCAAAGCTTATAACATCACCGAAAGTTGCATAGTCTGATACCATTTTCGAGTCAGCCCAAAATATATTAGTTATCAAATCGTCCTCATCTACTTGAATTGAATAAAAAAACTTGACATCTTCTGCTACCTTCTTCTCCATATATTCTAACACTCCCCCTGTATCACCTTTCGCTGCTTGCAATGTTCTTTTTGAGTACAACCGATTTTTCATGTCTTGAGGGATAAAACCAAGGTTTTCTTGTCCACATGCTTCTTTGGCCATAAGATCAATAGTTGCTTTATTAGAAATGCCTACAGACTTTGCGACCTCTGCAGCCGCTATTTGTGCATCTGTCACTTTTCTGTGAGATCTCAAGTATTGGGCCATGGTTCCAGTAGCAAGAATGTGGTTATGTGTCTCCTCAAATTCGTAAACCTGATAAAATCCATTCCTAAGACTTATTTTCATATGTGCATTACATCCACATCGTGATTCAGGCCTACTATAACTGAATGTATCTTCTCTCTTATCTTCAGCACGAGTTCCTAATAATTTAAATTATTGTCTTAGTGCATCTAAAAATTATTATACTCCAAACAAATTACAAGTGGTCCATACCTTGACGAGAACAGAAAAATGTTCTCTGTTGTATTGTATCAGAGTTCTTTACTTTATGCTTACTACCTCTCCGGATGCTGAAACCCATAACTTCAGCATACTAGTTATAAAAGGAATAAGCCTCTTCATCAGATAAAAAATTCATTCCAATCTTTGGTACCCTTTCATTAATACGATCTTTCGCATTGCTAGCTGCGGTTTCTTGCACATCCTGTATCAAT